TATCAACTTCTTTTCTCAAGGACAACTTTTCAGATAAAGAACCCATTTTTCTCCTAAATTCTAGTTTAGAAGTTGTGTATGTACTTTGCTATTACCTGCCCCACTCAAAATGATGAAAGACTAATCTCCTTTTAAAATTTTGTCTAGACATATTACAAATAATTTTATCATAGAGAAAAAGACATTTCATTTGTTGCTTCTATTAAGAGTTTTATGGACATTTAAACATTCAGTTTTTTCTTTGCAGTGCTCTTCCTTTTAAAACAACTTATCATCTTACATTCTGTTTTCAAGAATGTTGCAACTCCATTGTCAGAAAATGACATTATAGACTTAGCATCCTATATGACTGAATGCCCCAGAAGTAAAAACATCACTTTGAAGGAAATCAGGGCTTACTTAATTATTTAATAGCTTTGGATCTTATAGGAGGAAATTAATAGCTCCTTTAAAGTAATAATACAACCATTTGCAAAATAACCTTCAGTTTCATCCTCTAGTTATGAAAATAGACCTCTTTTACCCTTCAAGCGTTTTAATAGCATACAATCATGAGTTGTTTAACAACAGAGATAGAATCTGAGAAATATGTCCTTAGGCTGTTTTGCTGTTGTGCAAAAATCATAGAGTGTACTTACACAAACCTAGATGGGATAGTCTACTATATACCTAGGCTATCTGGTGGAGCCTATTGCTCCTAAAGCTGTAAATCTGTACAGTACGTTACTGTACTGAATATTGTAGGCAATGTGTAGCATAATAATAAGTATTTGTGCATCTAAACATATGTAAACAGAGACAAGGCTTTCCAATGGCTATGAGGTCACTACGCAATAAGAATTTTTTAGATCCACTATAATCCTAGGGGCCTACCATCCTATATGCCGTTCATCATTAACCAAAATGTTATGTGCCACCTGACTATATTTACACTCCTGAATAGCGTATTGCAAAATCTACTTTTGCTGTATCATGAATACCTCCTGACCACACACTATGTCATTGATTGCTGTCTTAAACAGATTTTCTCTTTCCTGTGGTACATTTGGGAATTGGTAGACCTATTAATTAACTCCAGTTCTGTAAGATATGTGTCAATCAATTCTTGGGTATCTTCCAATAACACTTGACACTGCAGAAAACTCCCGGTGAGGTCACATACGTCATACACATGTGTGTGTTTATCATAAAATGCTTGCAGAGTTCATGGAAAAAATGATTTAGAATTAGAGTACAGATGAGTCTGGAGTTTAAGCTCTCAGCATCCATGCCATTGAAATGAAAAGCGTGAGTCATCCTTGACAGGCAGAATATTCCCAAATGGCTTACAGTATATGGTATTTCCCCTTCAAATGTACATCTGTTAATAAAACAAAGTATGAATTTAGAAGTACAGATTTTCGAAGACGTCTCTGGATGTTTTCTCAAATTCCAAATGGGTCTTTTCTACTTACTGGCAGGAAATCTAAAAAAAAAAAAGAAAAGAAAAAAAAAGAAAAAAGAAAGAAAAAAAGGAGAAGGCAGGCACTGATGAGAGCTGA